GTTTCTATTGGAATACCGAAAGGTCAAGCCTCGGAAATCTGTCCTACATATAGAGTACATGTTTGTAGCATATGTTAGGTATTCTCAGGAGCCTGTTCACGTAGGCATAGTTCTGAATCCATAATCTTAAATTTCTTGTACATATAGCATCTTCTTATTCGTCTGTTCCTTTTTCATTGTCTTCTTCTTCTTCTTCTTTTTCTTCTTCTTTTTCTTCTTCTTCTTCTTCTTCTTCTTCTTCTTCTTCTTCTTCTTCTCCCCCTCCCCCACCCCCACAGAGAGTGCTGCAACCTTGTTCACAGGCATTCTCTTTCTCGGAGAAAAAAAAAACCTAAATGCAAGACATCGCAGAAAGCAAAAAAAAACAGAGCGGGACACACCCGGAACCTTCATGAAAGTCGATGAAAAGTGACCTATTCTATTTGGCGAGATTAACGTGAACCTAACCTGGCATATTATACATTGAAAGTGTTGTATAAAACAGTTTCAACATTGCTTAATTAAAAAAAATACCCCCATACAGAAGTAGTTAGATGAATAAACTTATAATTGTACCTAACTTTACCTTGCTGAGAAGAGCTGAATGCCACTTAGGTTTGTGCTGAGAAGGGAAATTGTTTGGAAGGATGGTCCCCTTCCAGATAAACTTCATGAATCTGAAATTCTAGTATGGGTTTTGCTCCCTGCTTGGACCTGACAGGGGCTCATTAGCTTTGACTTTTATTTAAAATCTGTCCAAAGAATGTTGCTTCTGCTTTCTCGTCGAGACGTTCAGGAAATGTGATATTGTCTGGCCATTCCAGAAAATGCTGCTACGGATTGTTTTGGGCTTTGCTGGGGTAGTACTTCTCTGTAAAGAGAGGTAAACAAGGGTACCGCTCTGTGGTATGACTCATTTTGACTGATATATGTTCTAACACGCGAGTCGTATTTCAAAGCAAAGTTCGTACCCCAAGTAAAATTTTTTCGCGTCTAAATAGGACGTATACCAAGTTGAACGCCGACGTATACCGAGAGACCACTTTGTTATAGAAAAGATCAGTCAACAGTCCGTAGACGATGTGGTTAGGATCATGCCGGTCGCCTTTACTTACATTTCAGTTTCAAATATTCATGTTGTGTGCTTCCTTGTGTGTTTATGTAACCTCTGTTGTCATGCGAGTAGAGAGCTACACAGAGCTATGCCAGACAATGAATAGGGCTATATCATTGTTGCTCGTCTAGTCATTTGAGTTCGCAATGGGAACATATTTTTTTTCTTTGGCGACCAGGTTACCTATTGGCTCGCTGGTAGACGACTTCGTCATCGGTCAGAACAGTATTTGAGTCTGTCTCCTTTAATCACAGAAACATTGCAGAAGTCCTTTTCAGTGCTTCTTTGGGCGTGCAACGCTAAGTCATTTTATATGAAGCACATAACCTAGTCATAATTATAACCTAAAGCTCCGAATTCGGCCATGCTGGTTGGACGTGACGATTTGTTTTAAGCAAAGCTCCCTTCTTCTTCTTCGGCATTCCAAGCCCTTGAGGTTTATTGCTGCAGATATCCCCCGCCTCCATTCATCTCTCTGGTTGGCCTTCTCTTGCCAATTGGTGACACTAAGTGTTTGCAAAAGCACCTATCAACATATTTTTTTAATGATTTTTGGCTGGACCATGTTTTAAGTGTCTCGTGATTTTTCGCTTGTGGATCCTGGGGACCCACTGTGAGGGGTGGAAGGGAAAATAGACCCACCCTCCTCTAATTAGCATGTCAACAGAGACTACTAATTAGAGATTTTTTTTTCGAAGACGGATTGCATCTGCTTTAGAGGTGGGAGGCGAGGAACCAACAATCTGCATACAAATAAACAAGATCTGTAAAATGAATGGGCATGCAACACTCAAGTTCAGGAATAAGACAAAAGTCCAGAAGAGGACGGGAAAAAAAAACAGAACTTTCAGCTTGAGTTTACTGCCGCTGAACGCTGAGAAGAAGAACGAAGGAACGAACTAACTTTATAAGTGAGTCACTAACTTGGCACAGAGAGGTCCATCTGACATTCATCCCTTTCAGATCATCATCTTTCACAAAATCTTGAAAGCAGGTTACGCTCAGATTACAATTTACATAATATGACAATCAAGTAAATATACAAAAGTATATCCATACGAATAAGAATAAGCATATAAGAGATTCGAGCACAAATCGAATAGACAGGCATTCTAGTCTACTTCTAATATCTGTGGATTCTCTATTTTTTCTTTGTGAATCAACGGACATCAGGGGCGTCAACACAAAAACAACTGTGGGGTGTTAACAGCGGCCTAAGCTTTATTTGGGTGTGTAAATAATAATAACAATAATGATAAATAAGTGAATGTATAAACGCAAACTTAAACAAATAACTACACATGTTTAGAGGTCGATTCAACCCCTCCAACTTTTCCAGGACTGGGAGCTCAGACTCGCTTCCAGTAAACGTTTTCAGTGTCGGGGGATTAAAGAGGTCCTTATCTTCCCCCCAGCGGCGTCCGTGGCTTAGGCGTACGAGTCTGACACGTAATTCCAACGTACCGCGATCGAAACCCACTGCTGGCTGCATGGATTTTTATCATGGTATGGGACGTCACAGGTCGACCCAGTCTAAAATGGGTACCAGGATGTATGTCCTGGGGAAGTAAAGACGGCTGGCGTAATGCTGACCACATCACCTACCCATATGCCCAATAACCTAAATTGGGTACCAGGATGTATGTCCTGGGAAAGTAAAGACGGCCGGCGTAATGCTGACCACATTACCCACCTAGTGCCGATTGGTCTATACAAATATGGCTGCTCTTCCAATATTCCCGATGCACCTAAGGCGTGAAAAGGAATCTTTTTACTTTTTTTTTTTACATCTTCCTGCACCCATCCCTTCCCCAACTCCCAGGTTCCGGCGCCCCTTACTACAGCTGCATCTTTATTGTCTTTCTTTCCTGTTCAGTGGCCACGTCTTACATGTATCTTATACAAAAGCCGAAATGCTGCAATCAGGAAACAAGAACAGACTGATTGCTACAGGATTTTTTTTTTTAACGGTTCAGTTTATTGATCGAAGAATTCAAACCCCAGTTGTATAGATCAGACACATCAAACAAGAATCGCTGGTTTCCATGGACACTTGTGAAATTCAAAAGCTCATTGATTAACGTCACGTAGATAATTAATTAAGCACTGCCAGAGATGTCAGCCAGCAGATTTCTCCACTCAGTGGTGTCCGAGTGGCTGTACGTCTCCTTTGTATTCAGGCCTAGTGTCTGTCGTATGTTTCATGTATTTCCTTACAGTAAGTCTTTATGTCTGGCTTTTGTTTCCGTATTTTGTCACAGTAAGTCTTGATGTCTGGGTTATGTTTCCTGTATTTCGGCACAATAAGTCTTAATGTCTGGCTTATGCCTGGCTTATGTTACCTTTATTTCTTCACAGTAAGTCTTAATGTCTGGCTTATGTTTCCTTCATGAATTAATCAAGTAACAGAAAGTGTATTGATTGGCACTCATAGAAAGAAGTAGAAAGATAGAAGAACACACTAGACGACATAAAAATAGAAAGCTATAGTTACCGTGTCGGGAATTGAACCTGTCACCTCCAGACGGCGTGTGCGCCTCGCCCTGGATACAAGTGCACTAAAAACATGGTCATCTAGGCACCCACACAAAAAAAGGTGTCTTATTGGTCATGTCTATCGTACGGCTTGAAATCCACAACTGTGGAATACGGACAGAATTCATTTCGAACCATTGAAATGGCTCCATAGATTACAGAAATTTATATTAACGAAGCATATGTCGAATAACAATCTTAGCAACAATTTACGAACACAGTAGACCTTAATGCTTTGTCTAGAACACACACACACATTTAAGAAAGGTATTTTACCTTTGAGGCCGTTAAATATTATGAATTAATCAGTTTCTTCACAGTAAGTCTTAATGTCTGGCTTATGTTTAAATTATTACTTCACAGTCAGGCCCAGTGTCTGTCTTATGTTTTATTAATTCCATAACAGTAAGTCCAAATGTCTTATCTCATGTTTGAGTTATTCCATCAGAACCCGTCAGAGTGACTTTCTTATGTTTAAGTTAATCAGTCACAATCAGACCCAGTGTGTGTGTGTCGTGGTGTCAGATTGTTCCTGGCCATGAACAGTATGTAAATCATGGGAACAGAGTATTTTGTATATTAAGCTTTGTTTTAGTTTGAGACATACACTCTGTACTGAGGTAGTATTCTAATAGTTTGCTAGAGAGCAAGAGGTAGGCAATGATGCAGGTGGGGTGATAACATTTAGAGATGGACGGACAGCAGTCTGATAGAGTGTACAACCAGGACAAGCGACAGAGCTTGTTGGAGATCCATTGCAGCCAACCTTCACTGTGGAGACGGCGCCTGATTGATCGAGTTTGGTATTGTATATTCAGAGTATGTTAATAGTTAAAGGCTAGGCTATCTTGTAGGTTTAGATGTTTGGTTTGTTTTGCATTTAAAATAGAATGTAATATTCAAACAACCTCCAAAGGCCGTTAGTTAGTATCCTTTGTATGTTCTCTCAAGGTCATGCAGGTGTGATGGGAAATTAACAGGCAGATAGACTGACCGGTTCTACACCACTTGGTGGTGAATTGATGTATGACAAGCTAGACGTTGTGAGTGCCCTCTGGGAGCCGAGTGAACAGTGTGTAAGCGCAAACAGATAATTACGGTCTGAGGAGAATGGCGTTGCGAGGAGTAACCAGGGGATCTGGTCTAATCTTAACACTCAAGGGAAGAGCGAGACAGATACGCAATCAAACACTTACTGGTGCCATCGGAACTGGAACTCTTCGTTTGCTGCTGAAGATTGGGACGGAGTGCTTACGGTGGTGTCCCGAGTGCTATGATGTCGATTCCTAATTCAACATTCAACATTCGGCCAAAGACAGTTTTGTGACATTGTGAAAAAGAGATATAGGCGAATGGGGTGGCGATAAAACAAATGAAGACAAGGTATAACGGACACACCGACAGGTGGGGGTGGGAGCGGGCGGGAGAGAGAGGGGGAAGAGAGAGAGACAGAGTCAATTGAAAAAAGGTACAGAGATAAGGTTATTAAGGTCTCTGCTTTCTTTTGTTGTCCCAGTAAGACCAGGTTGTAGCCCAGTGTTGTTGTTTTCCAAATGACTTGCACATGGCTTAGGTGATGAATTTGTTCACATTTGTGCAGGCTTCAGCTACACCATTTATTAATCTCTTTCTTGGTTTTCCCCTAGCCCTCCTTCCAGATGTCCTGCTGTGAACAAAAAAATCTTATATGCAGTTTGATTTTCTTGCATTCTTGATGGCCGAACCATTTCATTCTTTGTCTGTCAATATAATTCAGACACGTTCTTATTCCAACTCTCTCTCTCTTTCTCTCTCTCTCTCTTTCTCTCTCGTCTCTCTCTCTCTCTCTCTCTCTCTCTCTCTCTCTCTCTCTCTCTCTCTCTCTCTCTCTCTCTCTCTAATGCTGGTATTCGTATCTCTGTCACTTCTTGTGTTGTTAGTGAACTTACGGATTTTACAGGTAGTTATTTTCTATTCTAGTGTCCTATTCATTGTCCGTATTTGGAACTGTTAGTAGAAAGGAGGAGTGAAGATGCTGTTAATCATTTGCTGCTTTGCTGGATGAGAGACATTTGGGTGTCTTAACAAACCGGGTGCTCATAGGACCTAAACCAAGTTTAGAAGTGTAATAACATAAATACTGTGGTCAGTGTTAGTTAAAGGAGAAAATATACTTGAAATAATATGGTCATGGCCATTGAGTTAACCGTATGTGTCGATTCCTCCATACCAAATATATGGTTGACACATTCCGTTTCTGGGGACAGCTTTTGTCGAGTTTGCTCTCAAGACAGTTGCAGTCCCCTGCTGAGCTGACGAGATTCTGTCTTCCCGGCTGCCAAAACTATCGGTCATTATCCTGCCCCCGACATAGAACAGCCACAAAACACGCTGCTCCTACAAAAACAAATAGTATCCCGCGTTGGAAATGCGCACAAAATTGAAGTCCGTTATTATGAAACAGAATAATCCGAGAGAATTGACAGCCAGCGAAAATAAATACAGCTGCTATCCGCCATTTTAAAAACGGAAGTCCCGAAAAAATATGACATGTACAAACAATTACCTTTAAAGAGAATTTCTATACACGGTTAAAGGGAACTGTCTAGCCTTCTCATAAAATTGGGTTACATAATGTGACAACTGTATACATAATAAAATTACAAATTTTAAAATAATATCACTTGTTACTTTTTGAGTAAATGTCCGTGTCATTTACTCAAAAAGTAACAAGTGATATTATTTTTTTAATTTGTAACATGTTGAGGTTGCAAATTACCGCTTTTTTAAAGGGGGTTCTTTCGTGATATCCTACCCCAGATGGTGTCACAGGACAGTAAAACATTTTAGAGGGTGGTAAGACTGAGTTTGCCTTCTTTCTTATGCTTGTAACGACCCCAAAACATATAGAACTGGCCCTAACCTCAACCCGCCTATGTCCCACCAGAGAGTGCACCCTAGGTCCCACGATTGCATGAAGCCTAGGTCCTACGACTGCATACGCAGCCTACCTACCACCCCCTGAAATATTAGACTGTACCATGACCTGTGGATTTCCCGTTAGGGGTAGGATATTATTAAAGCACCCAAAAAAGTACTGGGGTAGAACACCGAAAGCACCATTCAAAACCAGATGAGATTAGTCCTAGTCCTTTTGAGAAAAAAAAAAGAAAAGGTCGATCACTTTTAGACTGCTGCTCGCTAGCCGAGGCTGTCAACAGTCTCCGCCTATATTTGTGGTCTGGTTTATTTGCGTCACTTTCGTGACTGGATTCTAGTGTTTGCGCCATTTCTGGGCTTGATGCTTTCATCCGAATCAGACCGCTCGTCCTCCACCCTGTTGTTACTTGTGCATGTCTTCCCGGATCTTACTTAGTGTTTCCAATTTGTGTTGTTTCCCTTTGATTTGGCCAGGCGACCATTTTCATCACGAATATAGCGGACTTGCTCTCTAGGGCTGTTCGGCCGAATATTCGTTGCGGGGGCCGAATTGAATGCGAATGCGAATAGTAGTTACCTTACACCCGCTTCTGTATACACGGCCTTAATGCTGACAAACTGGTTTTGTTGAAAGCTAATATAGCTTTCATGAATTAATTAAGCTGTCAGTGACAATTTCCAAGTTTAGTTACTTTTTTTTAATACTTAGGATTCTTTCATTCCTAGTTATTAGTTACCACAGACTGACTGAAGGATGCAAAACATAAAATGTTTTTAAATGTTTACTATTATGTACGAATACTAACTAGACATGGAAAGAATATAAACTCCGGCCACATCCAAGTCGATAATATGAAAATCAAACGAAAAGAAACATAAAAGTACTTGGGTGCAAACTTCAACTGCTCCAACATGCTGAGAGAAGAAATGCAATCTAGAATACAATCTAGAAATAAAGTATACTATGCCTTTCAACATCTGCTTAAGTCCAATTGTCTGTCTCGCAACACCAAGATCAAAATATATAAAACGTTGATAAGACCAATCGTGTTATATGGCTCTGAAACTTAAAGCAGAAATGAAAAAGATGAGGCCTTATTACAGGTTTTCAAAAACATTCTGCAGCATTAAACCTCAAGGGCTCAGAATGCTAAAGAAGAAGATGACTATGTGCTACTTTATGTGAAGTAAACGTTCAGCGTACATTTGGAATTATGAATGTGTGTGTGTGTGTTTTTTTTTTTTTTTTTTTTGTGTGATATGTTTCATGCACTATTCACTATTCGTATTTGTATTCGGCCAAATAGTTGGTCCCATTATTCGTATTAGGCCGAATAGTAAAAATCACTATTCGGTACAGCCCTAGTGCTCTCTGACCTAACTGAAAGTGGTTAACGTTAAATAAAGAAGAAGAAGTACTGGGGGTGGGGTGGGGGGGCTGTATAGTTTATAAAAATGAAAGTAGCAGCAAACTTCCGATTTCTAATGCACGGAGAAAACATTGCAAAAACCCGCATTCAGTCATAGATATAGCCTCGCTGTTTTCACGATTCTTTTTACCGTTAACTTTGTCTAACATCGACTCCGATCTGCTGTTTGAAACATATTGTTTCCTTCAAGTGGCGCTCTGGGTTTTTGATAAACCTCACCTGCGCGGGTGCGCCATTTATAAACATGCCAAGCCACAAGAACCATGCAGATCACGTGCTCTCCAGTCTTCACACGTGCAAGCTAGGTTCCAGCAAAGGAAGTTTCTTGTTGGGGGATTGGGTAGGGGAAAAAACGTTAAACTATGCTATATTGTTGATGCACCTTCCTGTTATTTCCATCGCCCAAGAACTCAAATGCACTTCGGTTGAGGTTGTTCCACATCTGGTAATTACTGCTTACACATTCAATCTTTTGCCTGCGACATCTGTTCTCGTCTAACTTCCACATGCGTCCCAACAGATGGCGGCCAACGGTTAGTATAAATAGGGCTACTTATTGCAGAGTTGTTCCTTATGGGAGAACGACAACCGGAAGTGTGAACGTCTATAATGTTTGTAAGAATTTTTCGCGGGGTATTTAGGGGGATTTTGCTCTGTATGGGGTTTAGAGTGCTTCTAGTGGCGGTTACTTCCTGTGTTAGTATCTTCCTACCAAGTTGGAGAGCATATGGATGCGAGACGAGGAACCAACAGTCTGCACATAGTAAGTAGTATCTGTAAAACGGATGTGCGTGCAAAACTAAGTCCTGATACCAGACTAAAGTTCATAAGTGGATAAATAACCAGGACTTTCCGCTAAAGTTTACAGTCGGTTAATATGAAGAAGAAAAAGACAAAGAAGAAGCTTTTGATATGGTTAATATTTTACTTGTCATGTGCCCGCCTTTCCAGACGAACGGGTTTTAATGTGCTATTGGGAGTTGTGTATGTAGGGGCTGCGTGGTCTCCAGGCTGGAGGTCCTGGGTTTAGGCTCCGGAGAAGATTGTGATTTTCTCCACTAGTTTCTGGGCGGTAAGATCGGACGCCCGTGTGTGTTGCTGCGTAAGTAAAAAAGAAAAGTCCCTTGGCAGTTGGAAATCAACAAGATTAGCCTAACGGCACTGTCCGGGCAAAATTTTGAATTACAAATATTTCTAAAGTATTTCAGGATCGTCACCGGTGCTACGGAGCTTGTGCACTGGGCTGAGATTCTTCTGACGTAGAATTGAGTTAGAAGTACAACCGAGCACTTGTGGGTTATTTCCCTTGTACCATGATGTTGATCCCTTGTTTAAACCCTAATTCTAAATAGTAAATTTTAGGCTGGTTTCCCCATTTACATACCGCTACACACTAGCTCGCTTCTGATTGGACGAACTACAGCCCACCTCACTCTGATAGGTCGGCCTCGAGCGATCTGACTTTCACACAAGGTCACGGGGATATTCGGCACTCGCGCTGATACCGCGTGCTGTATATTTCACCATGCTAGAGTTTTTAACACTTCTAAAATATTTAGATACTGGGTCTAACACACAACCCCCCTAGAGAGTCTCTTTCTTGGAAATTAAAACGTAAACGCAAGACAACAACAGACTGGGACACCCATAACCTCGACCATGGTAGACTAGTCCAACCAACTTATCAATGGAGTTGACCTACAACCGGTGACGTGTAAATGGGGAGACCATCGTATAAATAACCTCCTAAATGTATGTAAATCACACAGAATCAAGGTCAGGGGTGAAGTTTCTCCTCTGCTCAGCCTACAGTCTAGACAGTTTTGTAGAGACAATGTGTTGTCAGTGCAGCATGATCTCTCTTTCAGCCTGCCTTGTTTACTCCATAGCAAAGGTGACACTAATACTTTAGGAACAAAGTACGCCACAGAAAATCCCAGGCGAAGAGCAGTGCGCCCTCTGTCCGCCGTCAAATTTTCCTCCAATTTTTCCCCATGTGTCCGGATATAATGATTAATTTCCTTGGACCCAGGGAGTACATTTTTATGGATCAGCAGGCAAGTCGACACTCACCTTTCCCAGAACTTTATCTTTACGCATTTTGAACTATCGACCTGGAAGCCAATCTCATTTTGGAAGAAGAAAAAAATCCCACTCTTGTTTTAAAACCCTGCACAGTAAATAGATGTGCAGGAAAAATACTTTTTTTTTTTTTTTTAAGAAAAAGCAATACACAAAAAAAACGCGTGAAAAGAACAATATTGTGGCATCTTTTTGATATTCAAAATCTTTGTTATTTAATTAATTAAATTGTTCAAATTGTATTCAAGAATACCTCACGGTTTAAACAATCCGTTGATAGTTTTTAGTATTTAGGCGTACCAACTTTCCCATTAACTAATACAAACGCGCCATCGGACAACTAGGCGTGTTGTGTGTGTGTTGATGTTAAACAGGTAAGTACGTTTGGAAGTCTATCTGTTTGAACAGTCTAGAAGTAAATTCCATTGTTGTGTAACAAGCGACATAATCAATACGGAAGTATGCCAGCAAATGTTGTTACGACTTCTTTCCCCTTTGTATTTCCTGTGTGCATTCAGTGCGTTAAGTCTACACTGCCACTGTAACAATGCCGCCTTATACTTGCCCAGGAGGCTTTACCTGGTAGGCATTTTGAACTATTGGTGTCACATGGAAGCCTCTCATTATAAGAAGATAACAAAAATGTCAGCCGTCCTTGAAGTGGGCGAAAGTAGAAAAAAGAAGAAGAAGAAGAAGAAGAAGTAGTAGTAGCAGTAGTAGTATACACAGTAGTAACGCGTAGTAGTAGTCAGTATGTGGCATCTAGTTGTAGTAGTATGTAGTAGTAGTTAGTTAGTATTGTAAATAGTAGTAGTAGTACACTCACGTTTAAACAATCCGTAGTAGTTTTTTAGTAGTAGTAGTAGTAGTACCAGTAGTAGTAGTAGTAGTAAAGTAGTAGTAGTAACTAGTAGTAGTAGGTTGTGTGTGTTGTTTGTTGTTGTTGTTGTTGTTGTTGTGTGTGTGTGTGTTAGTAAGTAGTAGTAGTAGTAGTTAGTAAGTATCTAGTAGGAGTAGCACCAGTAGTAGTAAGTAGTAGTAGTAGTAAGTAGTAGCAGTAGTAGTTAGGTAGTAGCAGTTCCCGTAGTAGTAGTAGTAGTAGTAGTTAAGTAGTAGTGCCAGTAGTAGTAGTAGTAGTTATAAAGTATAAGTAAGTAGTAGTAGTAGTAGTAGTGGTTGTTGTATTAGTAGTTGTTGTTGTTGTTGTTGTAATAAGGTAAAGTAGTAAAAAGCAGAAGTAGTAGTAGTAGTTAGTAGTAGTAGTAGTAGTAGTAGTAGTAGTAGTAGTAGTAGTAGTTGTAGTAGTGTAGTAGTAGTAGTAGTAGTAGTAGTAGTAGTAGTAGTAGTAGTAGTAGTAGTTAGTAGTGGTTGTGTAGTAGTAGTAATAGTAGTAGTAGTAGTAGTAGTAGTAGTAGTAGTAGTAGTAGTAGTAGTAGTAGTTGTTGTTGTAGTTGTTGTTGTAGTAATAATAGTATAGTAGTAGTAGTAGTAGTAGTAGTAGTAGTAGTAGTAGTAGTAGTAGTAGTAGTAGTAGTAGTAGTTGTAGTTGTTGTTGTAGTAGTAGGTAGGTAGTAGTAGTAGTAGTAGTAGTAGTAGTAGTAGTAGTAGTAGTAGTAGTAGTAGTAGTTGTTGTTGTTGTTGTTGTGGTGGTAGTAGTAGTAATAATAGTAGTAGTAGTAGTAGTAGTAGTAGTAGTAGTAGTAGTAGTAGTTGTTAGTAGTAGTTTGTTGTTGTTGTTTGTTGTAGTAATAGTAATAGTAGTAGTAGTAGTAGTAGTAGTAGTAGTAGTAGTTGTTGTAGTTGTAGTAGTAGTAGTAGTAGTAGTATAGTAGTAGTATAGTAGTAGTAGTAGTAATAGTAATAGTAGGCAGTAGCAGCAGCAGCAGTAGTAGTAGTAGTAGTAGTAGTAGTATAGTAGTAGTAGTAGTAGTAGTAGTTGTTGTTGTTGTTGTTGTGTGTGTGTGTTGTCCATCAAGATGATAATGACCACTCTTGTTCATCGAGTATGAGTACGGAGATGACTGATGAGGCGATGCGGGCCCGAAAAGTTCATGGACTGTGACGACAGGGAATGAGGGTTGTGCCAGGGAGGGTATTTCCTGCAGTCACCTTTCTGTCCATCCTTTTCTTAATCAGTATTGCTGATGTGTTTGCTTCACATGCAGCCACGTCCTTGTGTTGAGTTGCACGCCATGCATTTCGGACTTTAGAGGCAGCCTTCTATTTTGTTTCCTCTATCTCAAATGCTTTAAGTGAAGACTTCAAGGTGTCCTTAAAGCGTTTTTTTTTTTTTTTTTTTGCCTGCCTTATGAACGTTTCCCATTTTGCAACTCGCCATAGAAGAGTTTTTTGGGGGAGCCTGTGATCTGGCATGCGTGCCACATAACCAGCCCAACGCATTTGATACTGTATCAGTAGAGTGTGGATGCTGGGCATAGCTGCTTTCTCAAGGACAACGGTATGAGGTACTTTGTCTTGCCATCTGATCTGCATTAGTTTTCTAAGGCAGAGAGTGGGAAAGTTGTTTACCTTTATGGCCTGGCGCTGATATACAGTCCATGTTTCACATGCGTACAGCAGTGTTAGTAGCAGCAGCAGCAGCAGTAGTAATAGATGTGGTGGTGGTGGTGGAAGTATGGCCTACGAATTCAGTTACTCAACCCGAAGGTTAGCCCCTCTAACCCTGTGCTTAGTAACGTGCCTGTCCCTAGGGTGGGCATGGGTTCGAATCTTATTGGGCAGATTTAAAAAAAACTTAACCCAATCTGGCAGATCGACCCTGCTAAAATTGATACAATGAGAAATACTGTGATGTAAAGAAGGTGGCCAGCATGATGCTTCTCCTGCCTCTTCTTCTTCTTCGCCTTCTCCTTTACATCATCCGGCCTACCTGCCTACACCCACACACACTCTTGAACTATGTTTATGAGGGGCCCCGGAGGGCACACACAAAGAATTTAAATGATTATCTTGAAAGTCATTACAAAATGTTCCCACCTGCGCAGGTATCATTGAGCCAGTCTTAAAGGTCATCAAAGAACAACTAATGAAATGGTTTGGTAATCTAACAAGAATGTCTGGTAGTCTGGTAGTCTGGTAGTCTTAGTTTCAGCTTCATGGCAAACGGGTCACCCCATCTTTGCTCCGCTCCTGTGCCAACGAAAAACACACAGAATGTTTATCACAGTATTAGAATTGCATTTCATCATTGATGGTAGCAGAAGTCGCCAACAGATCAGCAGTTGCCCACGCGATCAATTTTAATCACATACGGGCACCACAACACTGCACGACAGGCATCGCGCCATTTTCTGAATCTAAAATTCACACCAACACGTTGGTCACAGTCGAAAAAACATTCCAAATGCAATCCGCAGCTCACAGGGTCACGCCATGCATTCAACTCAGAAGCTAGTCGACGAAACTCTATCCAGTCTACAAATGGGGCAAAAATGCATCGGCCACCGTCCGGCAGAAGCAAAAAATGTGCCTCTGTTTCGAACAGTGCCGCTGCCTAACGTCCATTTTGACCGGAAGCTCACAGGAATGCCCTGGTACTGTCTACCACAGTGGCTCTCAACCTTCCCAATTCCGCGATCCTGTTATACAGTTCCTCATGTCGTGGCGACCCCTTAACGTACCATTATTATTACTTCATAATTTCAACGAATTTGTGTTTTCCTATAGTCTTAGACGACCCCTGTGAAAGGGTCGTTCGACCCCCAAAAAAGATCGTGACCCACAGGTTGAGAACCGCCGATTTACCACAACCTTCCTGGACGGTCGGCTTTCTTGATACCACTGTCGAAACCAACGCAAGGCGCATGGCCTGCAGCTAGGATCGAACCAGGCATCTCGGCATTACGAAGCGTCAGCTTCGACTTAGCCACAGAGCAGACTTTTTTTTTTTTAATACTCCCCGGTTAATGTGTTGTGCATATGTGTGTGTGCGTGTGTACTGTGTGTGTGTGTGTGTGTATATGTGTGTGTGGTGAGGGGAGAACGGGAGGTTACCCAACTCCCCCCCCCCCCCCCCCCACCCTTTCCCATAAACGCCAAGATCGCACGCAGACCAGAATTAAGACCCGGTTTGTCGCTAATTATCGCAGGCCCGTCCTGGTTAGCCCCGCTCAAAAAAAAAGCTTACCCCAAAGTAAGACCACAGGCTTAAACCTTCAGTACGCGTGGGAGAGTTTCAACACCTTTTGCTGACAAGTGATCAGCTGGCGTTACCCAGTACTCGCTTCACCCGCTATTTTTGTGTCTTCGTCCTGCGATCTGGAGGTTGGGGGGAAAAAAAATCACTTGCCAGCAGCGTCGGCTCAGCGCATAGAGGCGAACAGTGGAGCACAAGCGAGGGTGTGAATGGGCCTGCTACACACTACCAGTACAGCACCTCTGGGTTTCTTGTGTTAGTGGGGGGAACTACATTTCATGTTTAACTTCATGGAATGTGTGGCCCGTAATGTTGAAATGATGTAAGATATTTCTGGCTCTCATCATGGCTGATGGCTTATTGTGTGCAGTTTTCGTTTTGGTGTTCACAGGCTGTGGCAGGTTCGGTCAGAGGCACTTAGGGCCTGCAGAGTGCCTAGTTCTGTAGCTGCATGGAAGGGTATGGGTCCCTGTGGCTGCCATAAGCCACCATCCTTCGCCGTGCCCTCGTGTTGTGGATATCTAGTCCTGTTTTTCTGCCTCGTTTTCATTTCAGGTAAGTCATCGTTTCTAAATCAACTTACTTAACTTTTGCTTGCATTTAACATGGCTCACTATGGTTTAGCCCAGGGCGGTTCACCTGGCTGTCCGCGCGAATAAATCTGGCCATTTGAAATGACTGGACAACCACTGTTCCTCTTAAAGTCTGGCTGGCCCGCGGATCCTGAGAAAGTGGCCCGCGGATCATTTCCAGTTGCACTGTATTAATGATCTTTCCATGCTGGAGCTTGGGCGTCTGGCCCGTGACGATCCGCATTTCCAAAAGGTTGGCTGGCTCCTGGTTAAACTTAGATGAATAACCCTGGTAGCACATGATCTGCCAAGTCGGATCGTTGTGTTTTGAAGCTGTCCTTGCGTGTGTCTGCAGGAAGGAGAGAGGGGGGATGGGGGTGCGTCAGTGTGCGATTATTTGAATTAACACATTCTAATATTTCCATGTGAATATGTTAGTGACTTTTGCATATGCTGTTGAAAGGTTTTTATCCTCAACGCCAATTTCATTCTTTGTGATTCTGTGTGGTGGGTCGGACAATTTTGTTTTTGTTTTTCCGAATTCAGTGGTGTGATTTATATCAGCATGCATGCGTGCCCTGTAGTTCTGTGTGGGTAAGGAGTTAATTCCACGGGTTGGTGTTCGGATGACGTGTGTCAACACTGTCACCAATGCAGTGCACCACTGACAACCCTATCACTTAGACATAATGGAAGCAGGGCCAGAGGTCGACCACGCAAGCGATGGATAGATGGAAAAGCCGAGGCCGTAAATACCAACATCTACGTAGCACAGACCGAGGCGCGCACCTGGTGCCTCTTCAAAACCTGACAAGACTTGAGAAGAAGAAGTATTCGGACGTACAATTATTGATAGCTGTAGGATCCGTCGTGATGCTGGCCACACCACCCATAGAAGGTCGAAAGGTCTATATATAGATGAGTTCACTATGGTATGCCCGCTGCACCACTGACGCAATAATGGTCCTTGACTCTTTTCGGCTCTTTAATCTTATACGACCACATCTCATCATCGGCTTCAAGATTTGATAGGGAAATCCCCAGAACGTTCCATAATATAGGGAGGTTGGGCTAGGTTTGGTAGTAGTCGATATTCAGTTAACACTAGAACTAACCCTAACCATTCACACCAACCCCAATAATAAACACCTAGAGTAAAAAGGTAAAGTCGGGAGATGTGAAACAGGGTCATTGTTCGCGGTTATAAACCAAAAGTGCTCTGCCACCAGTACGGACAGCTAACTGTCCGTCTGTGTCGCCGTCCGCACGCAACTCCGTAGCTACAGCGACGTTTTTTCATTTACCCCAAAGTGGTGCCCATTACCCCGGTTTTTTAATACCGGCCGTGGGCTGCAGCGAGTCGCAGCTGAATTTAAAAGCGAGTCTCTTATCGACTACGCTAACGCGGCCCCCTAGGGATCCCAACGATATTTTGAATAACATTAAAGTACCCTCTTTTAATTTGGGTATAGCCGTCTGTATGTTGTTTCAGTTGCCTTTGGTTCTCGTGTTGGCTCTGTGGCTAAGTCGATGCGAACACTTCGTGATGCCGGGGTGCCGGGTTCTATCCCAGCTGCGGGCCATGCGCCGTGCGTTGGTTTCGACAGTGGTATCAAGAAGCCGACCGTCCAGCAGAGAGAGAGAGAGAGAGAGAGAGAGAGAGAGAGAGAGAGAGAGAGAGAGAGAGAGAGAGAGAACACGAAATTTATTTCCAAAGGGTTACAAACTTGGCACGCAGGCCCGTCTTTACATGCGGCCTTTCCAAGCATTCACTTTACATTGGACTACAAGTTACTTTGTAACCGTTTTGTGGTGCCCCAGTGTAACCGTTTTGTGGTGCCCCAGTGTAACCGTTTTGTGGTGCCCCAGTGTAACCGTTTTGTGGTGCCCCAGTGTAACCGTTTTGTGGTGCAACAGTGTAACCGTTTTGTGGTGCCCCAGTGTAACTGTTTTGTGGTGCCCCAGTGTAACCGTTTTGTGGTGCCCCAGTGTAACCGTTTTGTGGTGCCCCAGTGTAACCGTTTGTGGTGCCCCAGTGTAACCGTTTTGTGGTGCCCCAGTGTAACCGTTTTGTGGTGCCCCAGCGAAACCGTTTTGTGGTGCCCCAGTGTAACCGTTTTGTGGTGCCCCAGTGTAACCGTTTTGTGATGCCCCATTGTAACCGTTTTGTGGTGCCCCAGTGTAACCGTTTTGTGGTGCCCCAGTGTAACCGTTTTGTGGTGCCCTAGTGTAACCGTTTTGTGGTGCCCCAGTGTAACCGTTTTGTGGTGCCCCAGTGTAACCGTTTTGTGGTGCCCCAGTGTAACTGTGTAGGTATCTACTAAATGGCTCTTCGATTAAACATGGTTTCCGGATTTGTACCAGTTTCTTCTTCTTCTTTGTGTTCACCAGCTGTAAACTCTTGCGGAAAGTTCTATGTGTTCATCCACTTTTGGACTGCAGTCCTGTTCCAGAACACGAGTGTTGCGTGTACATCCGTTTTACAGATCGGACTCTTATGCAGACTGATGGCTCCTTGCCTCTCAGGCAGATGCATGTACTAGCTTGATTCCCATCCTCGAGATGTTTAAAAAAAAGACCACAATCATGGAGAGTGAAAACTTAATTTTAATTAATTAATTAATTAAGACATAGACCGTACAGTTTGTAGGATGTGATATAAAGAGAAATTAACTATAACAGTCAAGCTATATATTTGATTTGAGAAGAACAAGAAGAAGTCAGCGAATAAATACTTAGATAGGTTGGCCAGAGTCGTTATCGTGACAGGAGCATAGACAAATACAAGGTACAGCGAGCAAGTTACAACAAGGTTCAGAAAGTGGGCTGTGGTGACAGTCCCGTGCATCTGCCCAGCTTACATAACGACCTTTCAGATAATTTTTTTTTAAAATCGCATTAGGGGTTCCCAGACCCCATTTCCAGCAAGTATGTCGTAAAAGACGACTAATTAGATATTTACTTTGAAGTCGTAGTGTCTCTGTTTGAGAGGGGAGCAACTCAAAAGCTGCATACAAATGCACCGGGTATGTAAAACTTATGTGCTTGCAAACTCCTTTCTGAGACAGACCGAAGTCCAGAAATTGACGAACAGCCAGAACTTTCCACCGGAGTTTACAGCCAGTGAACGTGAAGAAGCAGATACATTTTACATTTTAAAAATCACTTATTCATTCTTTGTAACTGATGTTGTGTCTCGCAATCCCCAGCTGAGGGCAGCCATCAAACTGGGGACTGCCATGTAGAGAGATGTACGAACGAGTATGGCAAGCACCAGCCGGCCCTGGACACCAACACTGGACACCCTCAGGAGGCAGCTGACAGCCACACAACATGCGCTGCTCTGAGAAACTACGGCCATTGCCTGAACAGGACCGTCGGTTGCCACGGCAACATCTTGTACCATTCGCTCAGAAACTACGTGCGTCAACAGATGGAGGCCAACAACTGCAGCGAGCAGGCTCTGGAGATGTTGGATCGTAACTCTAGCAGCAAGATGCGACAGACAGTTGTCCCTGCCGCGTGCACGTATAAAGGTCAGAATACCTACAGACACTGTGGCCTTTTTGGCGATCCTCATTTACGGACATTTTATGACGTTTTTCAAACGTGTAGAATTAAGGGGGCCTGGCCTCTGGTCAACAACGACTACCTCACTGTGCAGGTGACTAATGACGCAATAGAAGGTTTTCCTCAGGCCACCGCAACCAGCAAGGTTAGTGTTGTGTTTATTTCAGCAGCAGTTAGTTGTCTGTCGTAAATATTAATGCAGCTATCTATCTATATAAGTTTTAATATAGCTGTGTGTTCATGTCACTATTAGTGTAGTATATTCTGTCACTTTTAATGCAGCCATATATCTGTGTCATTGATAATGCAGCCATATATCTGTGTCATTGATAATGCAGCCATATATCTGTGTCATTGATAATGCAGCCATATATCTGTGTCATTGATAATGCAGCCATATATCTGTGTCATTGTTAATGCAGCCATATATCTGTGTCATTGATAATGCAGCCATATATCTGTGTCATTGTTAATGCAGCCATATATCTGTGTCATTGATAATGCAGCCATATATCTGTGTCATTGATAATGCAGCCATATATCTGTGTCATTGTTAATGCAGCCATATATCTGTGTCACTGTTAATGCAGCCATATATCTGTGTCATTGATAATGCAGCCATATATCTGTGTCATTGATAATGCAGCCATATATCTGTGTCATTGTTAATGCAGCCATATATCTGTCTCACTGTTACTGTAGCCATATATCTGTGTCATTGTTAATGCAGTCATTTGTCTGTGTAAGTGTAATGCAGTCATATATCTGTGTCACTGTTAATGCAGCCATGTATCTGTGTCATTGTTAATACAGCCATATTTCTGTATCAGTGTTAATGCAGCCATATATCTGTGTCACTGTTAATGCAGCCATATATCTGTGTCATTGTTAATACAGCCATATATCTGTGTCATTGTTAATGCAGCCATATATCTGTGTCATTGTTAATGCAGCCATATATCTGTGTCATTGTTAATGCAGCCATATATCTGTGTCATTGATAATGCAGCCATATATCTGTGTCATTGTTAATGCAGCCATATATCTGTGTCACTGTTAATGCAGCCATATATCTGTGTCATTGATAATGCAGCCATATATCTGTGTCATTGATAATGCAGCCATATATCTGTGTCATTGTTAATGCAGCCATATATCTGTCTCACTGTTACTGTAGCCATATATCTGTGTCATTGTTAATGCAGTCATTTGTCTGTGTAAGTGTAATGCAGTCATATATCTGTGTCACTGTTAATGCAGCCATGTATCTGTGTCATTGTTAATACAGCCATATTTCTGTATCAGTGTTAATGCAGCCATATATCTGTGTCACTGTTAATGCAGCCATATATCTGTGTCATTGTTAATACAGCCATATATCTGTGTCATTGTTAATGCAGCCATATATCTGTGTCATTGTTACTGCAGCCATATATCTGTGTCATTGTTAATGCAGCCATATATCTGTGTCATTGTTAATGCAGCCATATATCTGACTCACTGTTAATGCAGCCATATATCTGTATCATTGTTAATGCAGCCATATCTCTGTGTCATTGTTAATGCAGTCATAAATCTGTCTCACCGGTACTGCAGCCATATATCTGTGTCATTGTTAATGCAGCCATATCTCTGTGTTATTGTTAATGCAGTCATATATCTGTGTCACTGTTAATACAGCCATATATCTGTGTCATTGTTAATGCAGTCGTTTGTCTGTGTCAGTGTTAATGCAGTCATATATCTGTGTCACTGTTAATGCAGTCATAAATTTGTGTCATTGTTGATGCAGTCATTTGTCTGTGTCAGTGTTAATGCAGCCATATATCTGTGTCATTGTAAATGCAGCCATATATCTGTGTCATTGTTAATGCAGCCATATATCTGACTCACTGTTAATGCAGCCATATATCTGTATCATTGTTAATGCAGCCATAGATCTGTGTCATTGTTAATGCAGCCATATATCTGACTCACTGTTAATGCAGCCATATATCTGTATCATTGTTAATGCAGTCATATTTCTGTGTCACTGTTAATGCAGTCATATATCTGTGTCACTGTTAATGCAGCCATATATCTGTATCATTGTTAATGCAGTCATATTTCTGTGTCATTGTTAATGCAGTCATATATCTGTGTCATGTTAATGCAGTCATATATCTGTGTCACTGTTAATGCAGCCATATATCTGTATCATTGTAAATGCAGCCATATATCTGTGTCATTGTTAATGCAGTCATATTTCTGTGTCACTGTTAATGCAGCCATATATCTGTGTCATTGTTAATGCAGCCATATATCTGTGTCATTGTTAATGCAGTCATATTTCTGTGTCATTGTTAATGCAGTCATATTTCTGTGTCATTGTTAATGCAGTCATATATCTGTGTCATTGTTAATGCAGTCATTTATCTGTATCACTGTTAATGCAGCCATATATCTGTGTCATTGTTAATGCAGCCATATATCTGACTCACTGTTAATGCAGTCATATATCTGTGTCATTGTTAATGCAGTCATATTTCTGTGTCACTGTTAATGCAGTCATATATCTGTGTCACTGTTAATGCAGTCATATATCTGTGTCTTTGTTAATGCAGTCATATATCTGTGTCACTGTTAATGCAGTCATATATCTGTGTCTTTGTTAATGCAGTCATATATCTGTGTCACTGTTAATGCAGCCATATATCTGTGTCATTGTTAATGCAGTCATTTGTCTGTGTCAGTGTAATGCAGTCATATATCTGTGTCACTGTTAATGCAGCCATATATCTGTGTCATTGTTAATGCAGTCATATGTCTGTGTCACTGTTAATGCAGATATATATCTGTGTCATTGTTAATGCAGTCATAAATCTGTGTCATTGTTGATGCAGTCATTTGTCTGTGTCATTGTTAATGCAGTCATATGTCTGTGTCACTGTTAATGCAGTAATATATCTGTGTCATTGTCAGTATGGTCATATCTGTGTCGGTGTCAGTATGGTCATATATCTGTGTCATTGTCAGTATGGTCATATATCTGTGTCAGTACAGTCAGTGTCAGTACAGTCATGTGTCAGTATGGTTATATATATCTGTGTCAGTGTCAGTATGGTCATATATCTGTGTCATTGTCAGTATGGTCATATATCTGTGTCATTGTCAGTATGGTCATATATCTGTGTCAGTGTCAGTACAGTCATTTATCTGTGTCAGTGTCAGTACAGTCATATGTCAGTGTCAGTATGGTTATATATCTGTGTCAGTGTCAGTATGGTCATATATCTGTGTCATTGTCAGTATGGTCATATATCTGTGTCAGTGTCAGTACAGTCATATGTCAGTGTCAGTACAGTCATATATCTGTGTCAGGGTCAGTACAGTAATATGTCAGTGTCAGTACAGTCATATATCTGTGTCAATGTCAGTACGGTCATATATATGTGTCAGTACATTCATATATCTGTGGCATTGTCAGTACGGTCATATATATGTGTCAGTACAGTCATGTGTCAGTATACAGTCATATAATTGTGTCATTGTCAGTACGGTCGTATATTTGTGTCAATGTCAGTACAGTCATATATCTGTGTAATTGTTAATGCAACCACTTTGTCATTGTTAATGCAGCCACTTGTTTGTGTAAATGTTAGTAAATATATAATTATGTGCGCAATATACTTGGGTGTACAAGAGATACAGCATGCAGAGCGATGCGCTACCTTCTTGATTTTCCAACCATGGAAGACAAAACATATTTCCCGAGCACGTGCCTACCTCACAGTCAGCGAGGACACACAACATCCATTATCTAGTCAATTTAATAAGATAAAAGGCAGCAGGTTAACAAAGGCGAAATCGTGGATGGGTCAAGCCGAGGACATTATTTTACAGGTATGTTCAATTAAGGACATAGAACCCGGCGAGGTGTGGGTGCAAGTCCCTTTAGAGTGCTGTACATCTGGTAGTCTGGTAGTCTTAGTTTCAGCTTCACAGCAAACGGGTTGCCCCATCTTTGCTCCGCTCCTGTGCCAGCGAAAAACACTCAGAATGTCTATCACAGTCCCTTGTGGAAAGATTGACAGACTGCTGTCTCAGCATATCTAGCATACACTCGCATTAAAGCATATGGTAGCCATCCGAAGTGCTAACACAAACAGTCCAACATTAGAAATGCAGTTCATCATTGATGATAGCAGAACTTGTCGTCAACAGATCAGCAGTTGTCCGCGTGATCAATTTTAATACGGGTCCCGCAAGCATTGAACGACAGGCATCGCGCCATTTTCTGAATCTACAATTCACACCACCACGTTGGTCACAGTCGAAAAAAAAACATTCCAAATGCAATCCGCAGCTCACAGGGTCACGCCATGCATTCAACTCAGAAGCTGGGCGACGAAACTATATCCAGTCTACAAATGGAGCAAGAATGCATCGGCCACCGTCCGGCAGAAGCAAAAAATTTGCCTCTGTTCCAAACGGCGCCGCTGCTTAGCGTCCATTTTAACCGGAAATCATTTTCTGTTTGCGTCCAACTACACAGAAAATTCAGACAACAGAGTCCTGCTGTTGTAGAAGCAGAAATTCAAGCCCTGATTTTCGAGAACGCTCTAGAGGGCGATGCTGTCATTTACATAGGCGGAGTCTACCATCCGCAATGTAAGAAGCTCGTGGGCTTTCACAGCTTGCTTGGAGGGAGAGTTGTGAAGAAAGATTCTAGAGCTTTTGCGGTAACTACAGGTAGTCTGGCTATGGAGGTCATGTCTGTGACTAAAGCAGTAACACGGCTAGAGACACATACTTTCACTGGGGCATGCTTTCTCAGTCACTCGATGATTATGCTCAGGAAGATAAAGAAGGGCTAGGTCCGAAGGCAGTGGTTGGTGGCTCTTCAGCGCTCACGGCTGACAAGGATTAGTTTCATTTTTGTGCCAGGATATGTCGGGGTACCAGGACATTTGCAGACTGATAGACTTGCTGGTAAGGCTACTTTGAAAGCCGGACAAGCCATGGACCAGGCTGATATACTGAATGCTCAAAGAGAGTTAAGACGTTTGCGTGAATCAGTTGAGAACTGTAAATCTACAACCATGGTCAGACTGCAAGAACAGCAAGTTAAACGGGGTGTTACTAAGCAAGAACACTACACGGGTAGACAAAGAAGAAGAATAAACCAGCATAGAACTGGTGTCGTCAGCCGCTTCACGCTGCTGGGTTTACTGAGGAGGGGACCCTAGCACTCATGGACTGAGTGGTTCGATATGCAATGAGGATAATCTGTCGACTAACTAACTGACATACGTCTGTGTCTCACAATGTAACAAAAATATATATTACAGACGGTGAAGGGCAGCTTAACAGGCTCTTAGCTCAGTAGTCTTTGAATAAAGAAATGAAAATAAGAATGCCAGAGCGTATTTTATGGCCGGTATCGATTCTGATTCGCTAACAGCTTCTGCCCTCCGCAGAGGTTTAGCTTGAATACCAGCTAGTTACAACAACCCGGATCCATGAGCAGGGCTGCCTACCAAAACACACCACGGGTTCAGATTAGTCATTTTAATTAAGAAAAGCCAATAAAACGTATTTGAACACATGCGCGCACGCGCACACACACACATATATATGTGTGTAAAAATGGGGATTCGCCATAGCGTTGCCGGCTAGACGCCCGCCTTCGGATCGGAAGGTCGTGAGTTCGCGTCTTGACAGACGCCGGATTATTTTCAAACATGACCTTGACTTCCATGTCGACCCAGCCTTGAGTGGGTACTAGATACAGTTCTGTGAAGTAAAGGCGGCTTGCGTGAAGCTGACTACATCATCCGCCAAGATCCGATTGGTCTATAAAATATAGGTCTAGCCCTATTGGCCCACTACACATGAAGGCGTGGGAAAAGTCCCTTAGTATATAAAAATAGACAAACACACAAAGGACAAATAGCTCCTACATTTGCTGGTTGTTGTGGTTTAAAAACAAAAAAAGTAAAGGTTCGTTTTACACGTTCGTTTACACGTTCGATTTTATTGTTATAGTCCGATCGGCACAAGATGTGTGATGTGGTCAGCATCACGCCGGCCTCCCTAACTTCCCGGGACTTCACCTGGTACCCACTCAAGGCTGGGTGGACCTGGGAGTCAAGGTCATTTTTGAAAAAAGTCCGGCTCCACCAGAGAGCGAACCCACGACCTTTTGATCCGCACGCGAGCGTCTAGCCGCTTCGCCACGGCGACTCCCGTTGTAGTTTTACTAGACAATTTTACGTCCACTAATTTACCACTGCTTCCTAAACGGTCCACACTCATTTTCTTATACTGGTAGTCATGTCTATCCACAACTATCTGTCTCGTGTAATTTCTGTCACTTCTGACACAGATGATTTCCCGAGCCATGATGTCAGAATCCAGCATCTTCTCTCTCTGTCTTCCTCTGCCTTTTTTTCCCCTCCAAATTGTCCACCGTCACGATGTCCTCAAGTTTTCTTCTTTTCATGGCACTGTCAAAGAATGTAGATTGTCTCCTTCTGATGGGAGCAATCAGTTCTCGTCATTAGTCATTTCTTTCACGAATCTTCATTGTTCTTTTTCTCTGTCCACATCTTTGCCGTTTCCAAATAATTTTTCACTTATCATCCTACTGTCTACGACGACGCTCATACCAGTGTCGAATTCAACACAGATTCTAACATCCTCTTCTAACTGTTATCCTTCAGTGGAGCATATGCCATCACACGACTTTCGCCAATTCCACCTGTCTTTCCTTGAAACTCCTGCAGCTCTTCTAAGAATAAAATTGGGTGCTACGAGTCTCGTATGTCCCTTCTTAGCAGCTCCTCTGTGGGTTACGGGATCCCATTGGGGGGGGGGAGAGATTGTACTCACTGGCCCCCTAAAAGTATGTCGTAAAATGCGACTAATTAGTGGTGTTTCATTAAAAGCCGGATTGAACCTGCCTGAGCGGCGAGGAACAAACAGTCTGCATACAGATAAGCAAGATCTGTAAAACGATATGCAAAGTTGAAGATCTGATTTTTTTTTTTTTTAAACAACGCATTGATCGGTATTCATAGAAAGAATTAAAAGAACACACTAGACAATATATAAATCAAAAACTATAGTTAGCATGTCGGGAATCGAACCTATCACCTCCAAATGGCCTCGCTGTGGAAACAAATGTACAAAGATGCATGACCAACTAGTCACCCCTGAAATTCTGGAACAAAACTAACAAGAAATGGAAGAACAACGAGAACTTTCCGTCAGAGTTTGCAGCTGATAGACGAAGAGAGGGTGAAGAAAAACTTCATCTCAGCTAACACAGGTCAAACAACTGCATGGCTCCCCATCGAAGGCGTCTGAGACATAACAAGTTTTACATTATGAAAGCAACTGGGCTCTGACATCACAATTTCTTTCGTCAGTCCGGCAAATTGTAGGTCAACTAATTAACCTTCTCCTCTTGATGTGCCACATTTCGGCGGATAGCCATGTTTTCCTCCCTGGGGTGTGGCAGGGTCTTTGCTCTGCTGCAGGCTGGCTGACTTGACATTTGATGTTCCCATCTGGACCTACTGGCAGATCATGTGTTCTGCTGTTAGGATATCCATTCGTCACTGTTTTTATACAATGTTATTTCTGGCGTGTGCGTTGTTGGTTGTGTTGACAGGTAGACGCCTGGAAGTACAGACGAGAAGCGGGGAACGAGACAGACAGATAGGTAGACAGACAGACAGACAGGCAGGCGCATGGATATACAGACAAAGGGGCAGGGAACTAGACAGACAGATAGGTAGACAAACAGATAGAGGGGCGGATAGATAGATAGACAGATAGATAGACAGAAATATAGGTAGATGAAAGATAGATAGACAGACAGACAGACAGACAGACAGACAGACAGACAGAGATAGATAGATAGATAGATAGATAGATAGATAGATAGATAGATAGATAGATAGACAGACAGACAGACAGACAGACAGACAGACAGACAGACAGACAGACAGACAGACAGACAGACAGACAGACAGATAGATAGATAGATAGATAGATAGATAGATAGATAGATAGATAGATAGATAGATAGATAGATAGATAGATAGATAGATAGATAGATAGATAGATAGATAGATTCAAATAGCTTTTTGAAAGGGAAAACAGCTAACAGCGTTACTTGAAAACATGTTTCTACCAATGTTAAGTCATTTTTGATTATGTATTTTCATTAATTCCATATTTTCGCTTATTTATTGTCATTAATTTCGCACATGAAGATAAACAACATGTGACCCGCAGTCTTCCCTCTTGCACTTCTCACTGTGAAGGTGTCGACGAGGCACTTGATGTCGAGCAGACGACAGCCTCTCTGACCTATTTCGTTACCCCTGAGCATTATTCCCTGCAGTTTTGCCTGTTTGGTCTACAGAAGTAAACTTTATATTATAGTCCGTATTCAGACTTTTACTCCCCATGTAGTTTCTGAAGTGGCGCTGAGGGGGGGGGGAGGGGGGGGCCACCCACTTGCTCTTTAACAGGCACGATGTAGAAGACGACTAATGTAGATATTTCCCTCCGAAGTCGGATTACAACTGCCTGGGAGGCGAGGAATCAACAGTCTGCATACAAGTAGATCTATAAAACGGATATGCAGGCGGAATTCAAGTTGTGCAGCAAAACTCAAGTCCAGGAGTAGACACATAACCAGAACTTCCCATCGGAGTTTGCAGCCGGTGAATGTTAAGAAGAAGAATAACGATATTTGCATGTATGTGCATGTGTTAGTGCATCTTAGCGTACCTTTATAAGATACATTCATAAATTACTTTTCAGTTTTTCTTTTTATGTGTGTGGGTGTTGTTTTTTTTTTTTTTTTCTCTCTCTCAAATGTTCCTTTCTGTCTTCCCACAGTTGACTGTTATTGTGAAGGGAAATCCTGAGTGCACGTCTGCAGACTTTCAGACATACCAAGCACAAACCAACTCACTGCCAGGTACCTTCGATGACGGTCGCGTCACTGTGGGAGCCTATGACAGCTTAGAACTCATAGAAGTTGATCCAGGAAAGCACATCGAGATCCATATCCGGTATATTAGCACTGTGGTGGTTGTAAGGCAGATTGGGCGTTATTTCACCTTCTCCATCAAGATGCCCGAAGATCTGGTTAACAAGAGTAGCTTAAGCCCCAACCTGCAGCTTTGTGTCCGCGGATGCCCACAAGTTGAACTCGTCAACTACCAAGAATATCTGGCCACCAGACAATACTCGCCATCTGTTCAAGATGTTGCCAGCCTACAAGTGGGCCTGGAACCAAGGCTTACAATAACGCGCTCTGATGCTGAGGAAATGTGCAAGGAAACAAAGTCTATAGATGTTTACTTCGATTCATGTGTGTTTGACATCTTGCAAACTGGGGATGTGAACTTTACCCTCGCGGCCATGACCTCCTTGATGGATGTCCTTAAACTGCATCCTTCTGCTGCTCGGACATTGGTCAACGGTTCTTATTTAGAAAAATATGAGAAACAATATGTGAACAATCAAGGATGGGTACGGCAAGCAAGAACCGAATATATGAGTGTGTTTCTTTTAATATTAACTTTATTAGTTCATGTGATTTGTTCAAGGTGAGACCCGACCATACATTAAATCTAGATTTTTTACAATGACTTATTCTATAAACAGACAAACTGTTTAAGCAATGTGTGACCTGCTGTTGTTAACAGTGTGCGCCATTTTATCATGGTGTAAAATATATATAGAATTCCACATTCATTAGCATAGCCGAACTTAGTCATGTACAACATAAGCAGCTGCACAGGTTGGCAAAATGTTAGGGCAGCAAGATTTTAAAAGTCTGCCTGTCTTTTCCTCTGTTGAAAAAAAACACATTCAGACCTTTAGCCTGCTCGCTGCTGAATTATTAGTCTTTCGAGGTATGGAATCTCTATCTGTTTCATTGCACTGTCCTCTTGATCATAAATTAGCTGATCACATGGAGGAGCAGCGGCAGCTAAACTATCAACTATTTATGTTGCCCAGCCCAGGATAAGAGTGACTTCCCTTGTCATTCATGACTCGCTGGGTTGCAGGATCTCTCCTATGTTGTGGGGATGTTATGATTTGGCTTGGTTTGACGTTTGCTCAGTGTATATAATGTTTGTGGGAGGTTGTGTTCTCGTGAGTCTGTTTCAGGTGGCTGTGTACAATTAAGAAGTATTGCCAGGGGAAGTGCCACAGGCGAGACGTTTCTTGAGTATCAAATCTGGAATGTTTTTGTATTTTTACGTTTATTGGCGGTGGCTTACCCCTGAGATATTAAAAAGCACTTAGAAGGAACGTGGAATAGAAAAATATCACTGTTTCCATAGTCCCAAACTGTTGTGCGAGTAGCGGAACCTGAAATTATCACATAAGTGAACGCTGAGACGATGAGAGAAGAGGGAACGGTTAAAGTGTTGACAATAAGGAAAACTCGCCACCCTGCAACATAGGAGAGGTCCTGTGACCCAACGAGTTATGGATGGCAAGGAAAGTCACTCTCATCCTAGGTGGAGAAAATGTTGGCCCCTGAGTAAACTTAGTTGAATAGCACTGCCTTAGCCTGTCATGACTTTGAGCACAGGGGAAATAACAGAAAAGTGCTCACAGAGCAGAAGAGACTATAATAATAAAAATATCACAGCAGATTTTCTATTATTGTAAAAAAAAGAAAGATATTCTTTCTTCTTTTGTGTTCACCCTTTTAAGGGCAGTTGGCGCATTGTGTTTTGATTTACAGCTAGGCTGTGATATCTGCACCTTTCAGCCTAAAACATCGGATTTCAACAAAACCCTTAATTGGTCACCTTTTATGACATCCTGGGGAGAAGGGGGGGAGGGGGCAGTAAGTGGGTTTCCTCTTTTCCCCCACAAATGTGGCTCCTTGAACCCACACATGGAGAAACAATATTTGTCAATGAGTTTAATAAGTGCGTGTTTCATGACTGCCAGTGACAAGAGTTGTTTTTTGTTGTATTTGAGCAATACATGTAGTATCATTTGTATTTATAAATATTTATCATTATTTGTTGTGGTTGTAAATTGTAGTAGTTTGTTTATACGGTGTAATTTGATTATATGAATTTGTGACATCTGAGTTGTTATAACAGCCACAGGTGGACATTTCACCCACATTGATCAGTGATCTAAGTTTTGTGAAGAAAATTTTGAACTTAATAGTTACCTACACATGTGAAATACTTTTTGCATTTACTAATAACCCATACATGTGAAATACTTTTTGCATTTACTAATAACCCATACATGTGAAATACATGTGAATTTCATCAGTCAGTTATATTCTTGGCAGTTTACCAGAGTCCTCTAAGTGCTAAATCCTTGATTTGATAAAATTGTGTTCCAACATTGAGATCGAATAGAAATTACAAAGTTTATGAAAAGTAAGACTCACTTCATTTCGGCCAGTTTGAGGTAGGAGTTCACATGTGTGCCTTTAGAATATTGTAAAACTGATAAATAACAACCCTGAAAATCCACTTAGGTGAAAAGTTCCCCAGACTTGCACTTGGGTGACTGGCATAGTGCCAATGAATTCAGTGTGAAATTGTTACCATCATCAACATTCACCTTGCAGATAAGAGTCGGTGGTCAAGGTTTGCCATTCCCCCATGATCATATTGTGTTCCCAGCAGGCCAGTACTCTAGACCCATCCATGTGACCCAGCCATCCAGCTTTTGACCCTCTTTGTCCTTCTCCTTGGTCTTTGTATTTTCCCCATTGGTCTTGCCAGTTGTCACCAAGTTTTCAGGTTATTGTTTTTCTTCTTCTTTTTATAACATGTCAGATAAGTATAACTTATAACACCTCAAATAAGTATAACTTATAACACTTCAAATAAATAGAACTTATAGATGTAAAAATACATTTATTTCAACCTGTGAGTAAAATGTGTCACATTTAGCACTGAAATTTATATTATTGTAGAATTACTTATATGGGAGGAATCTGGTTAATATCAAAGATGGGTGTGAAGTACATATTACATTGTAAAATGAGTGACATATGGGTGTGAAATATATGTTACATTGTAGAATGACCTATCGATGTAAAATACATGCTACAGAAGCAGATATGTGAGAAATACAGATTACATTGTAGAATGACATACATGTAAGAAATGCATGTTACATTGTAGAATGACATACAGATAAGAAGTAATATTATATTGTCGATTCACATACTGGCAAGAAATACATATTACATTGTTCAGTGACATACAGGTAAGAAATACATATTTCATTGTAGTGTGACATACAGGTAAGAAATTCATGTTACATTGTTCAGTGACATACAGGTAAGAAATACATATTTCATTGTAGTGTGACATACAGGTAAGAAATACATATTACATTGTAGTGTGATATACAAGTAAGAAATACATATTACATTGTAGTGTGACATACAGGTAAGAAATACATGTTACATTGTAGAATGACATACAGATAAGAAGTAATATTACATTGTCGATTCACATACGGGCAAGAAATACATATTACATTGTAGAGTGACATATAGGTAAGAAATACATGTTACATTGTTCAGTGACATACAGGTAAGAAATACATATTACATTGTAGTGTGACATACAAGTAAGAAATGCATGTTACATTGTAGAATGACTTATAGATGAGATTGTCTTAATATCTGGTCAAACATTTAATTATGAAAGCTTTGGCAGGGCAGACCAAATGCATAGTTGGCGGGGGGGGGGATTCCCTACTGCTGTAGACCAGAAGTGGCTTAGAGTTGAGAGGAAGCCATTGTTGTGTTGCAGCTAGACACATGCCTTCTGACCCACAGGTCTTAGGTTCAAATCTACAGTCCGAGTTTTTTAAAAACAATTATATTTTTAAAATAAACTGTGGCTTCTGGTCAACAAAGCTGCAAATAGATGCCAGGTAATGTCGTTAGAGGTACAGACAGCCTGTGTAATACTGACCTCATCACGAAAGTAATGTTGATCACATCACCAATGTAATGTTGATCACATCACTGGCGTAATGTTGATCACATCATGTTGTACTCTTGTATAACTCCTGTGTAGACTATAGGTATACAGAGCACTTATTTATATTTGTCTATACAACATCTATGTTTCTGCACTAAAACTTCTTCGTATCTGCAAACCAACCAAGTATGTAGGTCTAGGGTGCCTACACTAGTATGCCGCTGGATCTCTCCTTGATGGATGTTCTGCTAATACTTGCAGTCATGCATAATACAGCACCAGCAAATACAATTGTGACCATCCTGATGAGTCAACAATAACGACTTGTGACAGGCCACATAAACTTTAATGTCATTCACATAACACGTCACAAGATGAGGATGATTAATATATGTACGGACGATCTTAAGGTTTACAACCTTCACTCAATGGACTCCTGCCATTAGAAACTAAAACAGACATCAAACTGTCTCCTGCAAACTGCGGTATAGCACAAAGCTCACTAAGAGGAATGTTAATATAATATCCTCATAAAGAGAAAACAGATAACACAGCTTTTCCTCTAACCCACGGAAAACCTACATTTGACTTGGAGACTAGCAAAAGCTCAACTCTCTCTAAACTGACTGTCCCTCTGAATTCTATTCCCAGAATTCAATTAAGCCTTATAATTACCTCCACCTGTTCTACCCTGGTAATGCATTCCCCTGTACAACACAAATTCCTTCCCATAGTTTAAAACCCTAAGAACTAACACTTCCCTTACCTCAGTCTAACTAGCTCCGGACTAGTTGACCAGAACCTATTGTCCCTGATAACACCAAAATACTCTCCTCTCAGATAAATCTACTGGCACTCAGGAATTAACTACAACTTGCCACTCCCATTGCTAGTTCTCAGCTAGGAAACCATTTCATCCCAACCTAAAAAAACCATCGCCTGGGTAACTTTAGATTCGTTGCTGTGTGACCTCTACCTGTCCTCTTCCTACTAATTGACATTTTAATTCTCAGCTAAATAAGACTACAACACATCACCAGCGTAATGTTGATCATATCACCAGCCTAATGTTGATCACATCACCAGAGTAATGTTGATCATATCACCAGAGTAATGTTGATCACATCACCAGAGTAATGTTGATCATATCACCAGAGTAATGTTGATCATATCACCAGCGTAATGTTGATCACATCACCAGAGTAATGTTGATCACATCACCAGCGTAATGTTGATCATATCACCAGCGTAATGTTGATCATATCACCAGAGTAATGTTGATCATATCACCAACCAAGTGCCAGTGGGTACAAGTACAAATATGAGTCTACCATCATATTCCTGATGTGCTGATGGAATTAAAGGGTCATTGACTGTTTAGTCACCATAGTTAAAAAGTCCATCAAGTTCTTATCACAACTTGACTAAAAAGACGGCATTAAGTTGAATGTTTTATGCATTTCTCATGTGCCAGACAATCTTGCAAAATGCAGTTTTCAAAATTTTGAACTTTTATGATGTCACCAGACACTAGATCAATGTCTTTCTATTGAGTGATGATTATACTTTAAGTATATTAACTAATGTTAAAATCTTGATAAGTTCATTATGCTTTATTGT